CAGGACATAATTTCAATTCAGTTGAAAAATACATAAAGATGATATTTTATTACATTTGTTGATAATCATGAAATTTTGTATTTGAATACTTTTGTTAGTTGTGGCATTTTATTTCAGAATTCTTGTAATGATTTTAAACAACTGTAATGTATTGATATATGCACCAGGACAAGAACCGACACCATCGAAATAATATATGATTTAGAATCAAAAATATTCATCAAATGTGATGCCGACACGGCCCAGGTTCGTTTTTCCAGTGATATGAAGGAATTATATTTTGTGTATATTTTATTCAAATTCCATACTTTATCCACCAAACATTTTTCCCTCTCATTTAAAGTGTCACTGAAATAATAAACGCACAATCATTCATTCAGGTATTGTAAGCATCCCTTACTCTGTAAAGCAATTTATTTTCTTGTCATTTAGGCCTCCCTCTTCTGGACAACCAGTGGGTTCAATATTGCCAACCCACTACTTGCTGTTTTTTTCTATTTCTGTTTGTATTTTTATCCGTCAGCTGTGGGTACAACATATCTTACCATCATGGATGGAATATAAATGAGTGAATGACTGAGTGTAGTGTGAAGAGCTTCTTCTAAGCCATCTTCTTCTAGCTATCAGCATATAGTTCTAATTCAAAGGCCAGAACTACAGCTGCTTTACATCAACCATCTGTTTTGGAACTGATTCCCAAGCAGGGATGATGGCTTTTTTTATAAAGTTTAATGGAAAATCTCACAAATTGTCAAGAATAGCGAGGAATTCCAATTGAATCCCCCAAAAAATGTTTTAAAAAGGCAACTTCTGCTTGAGGGAGCTGTAATGGAAACTAAATGTATATGCAGGTTAGGCTCTCTTTATGATCACACTGGTTAGAGCCGTTGCTCCCTGAAAGATGTTTTGTTTACAAGCATGAAGATGGGAATTGTTTTTCTTTAGTTTGACGTAAACTGCTTCCTTTACCTCCCTCTCAAACTATCTGCATAAACCTAGTCTTACTCATCCTCTGTTGTATCTAGATTACACCAGTGAGGAAATTGAAGAAGTAAATGGATCACTTACCATAACATTCCATAAGTAAATGGATGCTTATCACCCATTTATTATTCACACATGCTTATCTGTGTAGGATCACTTGGTCATAACTAGGGGGAATTTTTAGAAACCATTAATGTAGGAAGAAGGACAATCGAGTACCCAGATGCAACCCATGCAAACCCCATTCTAAAAGAACCTCTAGGACAGGATTCAAACCCAGAACCTGCTTGGTGTCAAGCAACATTTAGGGCAAACATTTATAGAAAGCTGTTTGTCCTGAGGATTAATGCATGATTTCTCCTTAAGAGTGACTAATTCATAAGTCTTCCAAACTGGTCCTTATGACACTCTGCTAGGGTTTATGAATGCAATTACACATTCACACACATGCCAGCAGAAAGAAAAAGCTGAGCTGTTAACCAAGGACACATGGGTCAGTAGGAAACAGGATCTGAACAGGTGGTGAAGTAATATACAGCATGCTAAACAGACACGGTTTACATGCTAAGGTGATGAGATTTCTGTTCTCTTCTCATGAGATTCAGATTTTTAAACCATATTCTAGTTAAAGTCTTTCATTACAGCTGCTCACACGTTTTATATCATTTCCCCTGCATGCTGCTCCCTCTCCCTCAGTGGTGTAATGGAGGGAGTCCGTCAGTGGGAGGTGTGTTTTAGCAGCACCAGAGCTCTGTGGTCTGACAAACCAAACCCGCTTCGGCTCCCGCTCTGCCTTCCCAGGGCACACCCTGCTCACATCCATGCACAGATGTACACACATACAGGCCATAATGACACAGCTGAACGTACCACTGACCACTCAGTAAAACAAAATCAAGACACGCACCCAGGTCTCGTGGGAAGAAAAGCCCTTTAAAACTCCTTTATGACAGAGAAGATAATCACAAGATAGCTGATCCTGTTTTTACATAGAGTGATGATTATTTATAGTCCCTTGAACTTTGTGACACAAAATTTTCTGAGCGGACCAGGACATGTGATATGGTCCTCATAGATGGCAGCTGATTTCACTGTTACAGTGCTGCATTAGCGTAGTAGACAGGTACAGCAGCATGCAAACTACCACTCAGGTATTTTCCAGTATCTTGAGAGTCTCCTTTGCTATTTTTCCATGACACATTAGTGAAGTAACTGTTACCCAACTCCACCTTGGGTCCCTCTGCTTCTGTGACCTCTGTGACCTCTCTCCTTTTCTCACCCCTCCTTTTGCCTTATGTCCTGCTCCTTTCCATTGAAACTAAACCCACCATTTCCACCAGGTCCTCTGGAATCTGTCAGGTGATGAGAACACATAGCAGTTATGTAGTCAATGCTGAATTCGGATGCCTCAGGTTCAGTTTGAGTATGTCTGATTTTAAAAACAAAAAAAAAGGCTGCTCAGTGTTTTAATTTATTTATTTTATCATATAGTATAAAGCTTCCTTCATATTGTGAAAGTGAACAATATTTTCAATAGAGTTGGAATTAAATCCTCAATTTGTTTTTGGTATTGTAGAATTATTTTAATCCACAGCAAAGTCCATCTGCTGATCTCTGGCTTTAAACTTTTTGTA